TCGGTGCGGCGCCGTCACCACGGCTCCGCCGCGCCAACAAGGTCCAGGGCCAAGACCCGTTACAAGTTTCGATTATAATCTTGGTCGTTCCATCCCCACCAATCATCCTATTCCTACTGCCCGTGACAACTTGGTATCAGGAGTCTCAGGTGCTTCCGCCGCCATGACCAACACCAAAGCGGGCAGTGGGGAAAACAGCGATCAACCAATCACCATCGACAACCTCACCAAGCGCTTCGCCGCCATGGAAGCGCTGCTCCGCCCGCTCCAACCCCTGGCCGACAAGGTTGCATCCATGGAGAAGACGGTCATCGAGCAAGGCCAACAACAGCAGGCCCTGAACCTGGCCCTCACCCGCGTCGAGCAATTCCTGCCCGGTTACTTGCCGGATTCCAAGCGCACCGTCAGCGACAAGGGGAAGAACGTCGGAGGCACCGGCGGCTCCGGCCACTCCGGCGTCAACTTCGAGCGCTGCCGCCCAACATCACCACCACCCCACTCGGACGACAACGACGACTTTGACGGCGGCGTTCCCAAGTTCCACAAGCTCGACTTCCCCAAGTACGACGGCAAGGGCGATCCTCTTCCCTGGCTGAACCGTTGCGAACAGTTCTTCAAGGGCCAGCACACACCGGAGAGGAAGAAGGTATGGTATGCGTCGTTTCATCTACTCGATGACGCGCAGCTATGGTATTACAGGCTCGAGCTCAACTCCGGGACGCCGTTGTGGCGCCCCTTCGTCCAACTCATCAACACCCGCTTCGGGCCGCCGCTGACGGACAACCCGATCGGCGAACTCGCCATGCTCTGCCGCGACAGATACGTCGACGACTTCTGCAACCGCTTCCTCACCCTCGCGTGCCGCGCCGCGTCGCTCACGGAGGACCAGCAGATCCAGCTCTTCATCGTCGGCCTCGGCAACCCCTTGCGCACCGACGTGTCGCTGCAGCGGCCGACATCCTTGGACGACGCCATCATGTATGCAAGGGCATATGAGCAGCGCATGGCGCTGCCGGTGTCCACTGACGCGCCAGTGAGCCGCACCAAGCACTTCTCCAAGCCAACGGCATCGGCACACACCAACAGCAGCACCACGGTGTCCGCGGCATCGTCAGCAGGCTCCGCGGCATCCTCACCGTCGCCTACACGCCACCGTCTCACGCCGCAGGAGATCGCCAAGCGCCGCGAGGAGGGCGGCTGCTTCCACTGCGACGACAAGTTCGTCCCCGGCCACAAGAAGCTGTGCAAGCAACTGTACGTCTTGGAGGTGATCAACGAGGACGAGGAGGAGGAGGCTGAACCCGTGATCTCCCTCAGCGACATCACGGGCATTCAGTCCCGATCGGCCAAGACGATGCAGGTCTACGTCAAGCTACGCGACGTGGTGCTCAACGCACTGCTCGACACAGGTTCCACGCACAATTTTGTGGACAACGACGTCGCCGCCCGCGTTGGCACTAAGCTCCAAGCACGCGCCGACCTCCAGGTTGCGGTGGCCAACGGGGACCGCGTGGCGAGCTCGGGCGTTTGCGACGGCCTGGACATCTCCATCGGCGATGAGGCGTTCACCATCGCCTGCTACGGCCTGCCTCTCGGCGCCCACGGCATGGTCCTTGGAGTGCAGTGGATGGAGTCCCTAGGGCCCATCCTTTGGGATTTCAGTAGCCGCACCATGGGCTTCTTAAGGAACGGCAGGCTGGTGCTCTGGACGGCGTCGTCCTCGCCCACCGCGCCGGCCACGCTGGCGTCGGCAACCCTCGAGCTGATGGGGGAGCTCCTGCAGACGTTCCAGGCGCTGTTCGCCGAGCCAACAGGGCTGCCACCAGCCCGCCATCGCAGTCACCAAATTAGGTTGCTGCCGGGCACGGCAGCGGTGGCGGTGCGCCCGTATCGCTACGCCCATGCACAGAAGGACGAGCTTGAACGCCAATGCGCCGACATGCTTCGCCAAGGTGTCATCCGGCCGAGCTCCTTGGCGTTCTCGTCCCCCGTGCTCCTCGTCAAGAAGGCGGATGGCACATGGTGATTCTGCGTCGACTACCGCGCCCTCAACGACAAGACGATCAAGGACAAATTCCCGATCCCGGTGGTCGAAGAACTCCTCGACGAGCTGCGCGGCGCCGTGTACTTCACCAAGCTCGACCTGCGCTCCGGCTACCACCAGGTGCGAATGCACCCGGACGACGTCGAGAAGACGGCGTTCCGTACCCATGAGGGCTTGTTCGAGTTCCTCGTCATGCCGTTCGGCCTCAACAACGCGCCGGCCACGTTCCAAGCGCCGATGAACGAAGTGCTCAAGGACTACCTCCGCAAGTTCATCCTCGTCTTCTTCGACGACATCCTCATCTACAGCTCGTCGTGGTCCAAACATCTATGCCACGTCCGCTTGGTGCTGTCCGCGCTGCAGGAGCATCACCTCTACCTCAAGCGCTCCAAATGCTTCTTCGGTGAGCGCTCGGTCTCCTACCTCGGCCATGTCATCTCCGAGCACGGCGTCGCCATGGACGAGCAAAAGGTGCAAGCCGTCCTTGCATGGCCACTACCCCGCACGGTGCGCGCCGTTCGCGGGTTCCTCGGCCTTGCGGGGTACTACCTACGCTTCATCCGCGACTACGGCGCAATAGCGGCACCACTCACGAAGCTCCGGCGCAAGGAGGGCTTCAGGTGGTCCTCGGAGGCGGAGGACGCGTTCCGGGCGCTGTAACGTGCCCTCACAACGGCGCCGGTGCTCCAGCTGCCGGATTTCGACATTGAATTCATCGTCGAGTGCGACGCGTCGGGCTCTGTTGGCGGTGAATATGTGCATAATTAATTTTCCATTAATTCCGCAAGCGCACGGAACACCATTGTAGCATTTCACCTTGGAGTATTCCAGGGTTATCGTATTTATATTTCCTCAGGGAAGTAGAGCAATAGGAAGTTGAAAATGTAACAAAGTAGATAATATTATGCGAAATAATGATACCTTACTTAAGACGGGGGTAAAAGGGGTACATGATATATGGGTGTCACTCACCATATAATCCAAGGAAATAAAGAGATAGTAGAAGTTACATTGGGAGAACAACGAGATAGAGACAAAGATTCCTATGTGTTAATCTTACATCTATTTACTTCTAGCAATTAATTCTACAAGGTTATATACTATAGCTAAGGTTATGCACACTCAAGTCATGTTGTTTCGGAGCACGGCCATCGTGTCAGGGTTGGTACTGAACCCAATACTGCAGGTTCCCCCTGGGATCTAACCGCTATTGAGAACCCGATTGGTTTGCCTTTGAACGTGGCAGATTGTAAAGCTTCTCCCACGCCTGTCACACGTGGGGCTACTGTCCTCCGTAAAGACAGACGCCAATCGTGCATAGGTATAGCTCTAAGCACCACGCTTACAACTACCCTAGAGGAACTACCCTTGATCGAGAGAATAGCCCTATCTAAGAATGTAGCATAGCTTTCACTAAGCGCGAACTTTATTTCAGCAAAGCACTCACTCATACTACTTAGACACAATCACGAAACCCACAACAAGACTATCATGAGCACTAACTTAACTAAGTAAATAAACTTAAATAGAAAAGAATTAATAACAGAAATAAATAAAGAATAAACTAAATAATTATAGAAATAATTATATAAATAATAAAGAGTAATTCTACAAGAGTTAAGATACAAGAACAATACCGAAACTCTGAGAAGACTTCCGGAACCTCGAGAAGAGCTCTCACTCTACTCTACTCTACTCTAACTCCCGATACTAACTCTACTTATACAAATAAGTAATGGATCTCTTGTATCAGTGAGGTGCGAATTGTTTCTGCGGACACCAGGGCTATTTATAGCCTCCTTAGGATAGAGGGGGCTTATGTAGGCGAAGGAGACGTGACGGGGCCGCCAAGGCAGGCCGGCCGACCTACTAGGGGGGCCGGCCGGCCGTCCACTGTGGCGGTTCGCCACCGCCTCTTGCGTGGACGCTCCAGATTGCCTCCTGGTGTCGGTTCGAATGTCGGTTCCTTCGTGGGGGCGGCAGAACTGGAGTAAGGGTCAAGTTGAGGCCCAAACAGCCCACCAGACGGTATGTCGGTGGAATTCTGCTGAACAGGCTTTGATTTGTGACGTTTAGGCCCGTTTACAGCCTGCTGGAGGAAGGCCAAGGCCTTTGGGCGCCAAGGGGGGCCGGCCGGCCTGACTTTTCTTCGAGTCAGGGCCAGTTTCCTCCATTATTCACTCCTGTATCCAAAAATCACCAAAACTTGTGGAAATAGGTTAATTTCTAACTACTATGCATAGAACCTTGGTATTAGCTTTTTATTTACCGATATGTTGACGGTAAATTCATGATTTTTGCACCGTCAACACACTCCCCAAGCTTAACTTTGCTAGTCCTCGAGCAAACAACTCAGGGTACCGGCGGATCAGGAGTTACAAAGATAGCGCCCCAAGGGTAACAAAAATGCAACCACGTACTCCCTAAATGGTGGTAAGTATACAAGAGTATGGAATTCTCACGAGTGTTGCACAAGTGTGGGGCGTGTATGCTTCACCTTGTCACATAGATTGAAAACTAGAACATCACTTTTGGACAAAACAATTCTAGCAGGTTTAAGTCCAGAGTTTTTTTATGTGCTGCAAGACAAGGTAAAATTTTTTCCTTTGTTTTGGTTCACACTTCCCTTCCCTCTAGTGAGTCTATTCCTACAAGCTTCACTCAAATCCTACCTTCTACCAAATGAGGCTGGTATGTGGAGCTTGGTAAGGATATGCACATTTATCATGCGTATGTTGTAAAGCTAAAGAATAAATCTCAAGAGACATAGCACTCTTTATATCTCGGTCATATGGAAAATGGTGATGGAGGGGTAGAAGATGAACACACACTGATGAAGATGGTTTTGCAAACTTTTGGTCTTCTTTTATGCTCATGCTCAAGATGTTTATGATAAGAACCTTAGTGCATACTTGCAAATCATGCAATCTGATCAATGGACCGTTGATCTGTGAAAGAGGTCTTGCCCTAGCGGTTAAGGCGTTCGAGTAACACTTTTGAGGTCCTGGGTTCGACTCCCCGTGGGAGCGAATTTTCTAGGATTTAACGGCTTTGTGCTTTCAGCGGTAGGCGACGTGGCCGTCGACAGCGAGACACCAGTGGTGACTTCGTCAATCTCGAGGATTTACCGGCTCAGTCTTCGAAGATGCTCGTAGGGGTAGAGTTTGCGTATATGCGTTCATAGGGGTGAGTGTGCGTACGTTGTGAATGTCTGCGTTGTACTGTGTAATAAAAAAAAAATGGTCCGTTGAGCTCATCCATTGAGGGAGGAATGGAGTCTAGGGTAATACTCCTATTTCTAAACCAATAAAAAATCAGTTACCCAAAAAATAATTTTCACCTGTCAGATCTTACTCTACTTATGTATCAACCATTGATTATGGCTTAACCCCCTAATCCCACCGTTAGATCGAATCAGGGCCCACGCTAAAAAGAGCTGCCCGCGGGCAGCGTGACGCTGACCGTCATCGCTGGTTCAATTAGTATGACGCGGAAGCGTTTTTTTCTACGTAGAAAGTTTCTACCCAATTGATCTACCCCATTGACGATCCCGCATGGAAAGTTCCCTTGATTGCCGGAACAATGATTTGTTGACCCTAATTGCCTGACCGTGCTAGAGAGCAGTTTCGACTTTCGAGTTCAATTCACGCCGTCGCCGCCGCCGCTGCAGGTGCTGGCCTGGGACGCCGCCGGGATCGGCTCCAGCGACGGGTGCACGACATCGAGCGAGACGAGAAGTTGCTGAGTCCAATTCCCTTCTGCGATCTCCTTCCACTGCTCGGTCTCCATCCCGCCCAGATGGAGCTCTCGCCATCCCGCCGCCGCCAGATCGCCCACACCTTAGATTAATTGCGCCGGAGCTGAAGGAGAAGGTGGTGCCCCCGCCGCCGTCCTGCGACCGAGCTCCCCACACACAGCTGCTGCATCCGTCTAGCTTGCTCGCACCTGAGCTCCTGTGCGCAACCGCAAGGTTGCCGCCTCAGAGCCGTCGTGTGGCTCTGTTCTGGATGCCAAGAAGTGTTTGAGGTAATGCCCAGCTGCCTTCGGTGCCATCTTTTATTCAGTTTTTGTACTCTACATCATTAGCACTGCTTGGTTTTTTGTATTTATATTATATGTACTAATACCAATGAAATGGATTGAGATTTGCCATTTTTCTAGAGCTCATAGGCAATGTGTATGTTTCTAAATCGAGGGAGCTATTGTCATTTGGCATCGTAAAATAACTGTTGCAGGTTCAGGTGTTGAAGCTGATGATGTCATTTGCACCCTGGCTATCAATAGCGTATTGTCAGATTACAAGGTAAATACTTATGCCATAGGTTCCTTTTCAGTTATCCTGTTCATATAAACATAACACAGAAGATATATTCACATATACACTTGCACTTCTCCATTTTCTATGACTACCTCCTTTTTCCGCTAAAATGCATGTCTATTCTGAAGACTTCTTCCAAATTTTTGTCAATGTTCGTTGCGTCTCCTGATAATTGCTCCCTGTGGTTCATGGTCAGTTAAGAGGGAACTAAATTGTTCAGGGTCAAATACTAATGACACGCACCACCCCAAGCTTCCCTACCTGCCCTGCTCTGAAGCGACCAGGTAATAAATCCTCCTACTCCTTCCATTGATTCCCCTCCCCCACGTTGCCTACGATTTGCAAATCATTATGCGACTTCGCTGTAGATTAGTTGATGGGATTAGTCATCTTGTGCGATTCATCAATTATCGCTTACTCTATCTTTCAGTTGTTAAGGATTTGCTACTTTATGTTTCTACTAGAGAACTTGTTTGTGGGTTTCTGCCCTTGGAATTTGGAAATTCTCAGTATTAATATAGTTGGTTAGGTTTCCTGATTGTGCAGAGGTTATTAGTTTAGTTTGAAATTTTTGGAGTGTACCGGTCTCTTAACTGAAATATGTCATCCACTCTGTGAGTTTATAGTGCTATGCTGCTTCTGCAACATATCCTAGGGAGATGGATTGCTTCTCCAGATCTATTTATTACATACTTTTCTTTTTGATTCCTCACCATTGACCAAAAATTCAACGTCCACACTCATTTTGCCTTCATGTCAAGTTCCAACGAAATGATCTATGGAAGCCTGTGTATCTGTGGCTGGAATCTCTTGAGATTGGCTCATTAGTAGAGACTAAGCATATATCAGAGTGGCTTATGTGGAACCCAAAGGTTATGGACAGGCTTGTTGAGAAGCAGTCAAAGAATCATTCAATACACTACACCAAGACAACGCACGAAACTTCTGAAGAAGAGGTGGCATTTCCAAAGGTGACCGTAGTTTCTGAAAAGATTGATTTTTTGCCAAGCTTTTTGACATATAAAATCATAAATATTTCAAGATATTGTTCCAGGTTGCCGTATGTTGATTTGGCATCACTCTCGCACTTTTGAATTATAAGTTTTTGACCATCAGTTTGTTACAGCAAAGAGAATGAATTTATCCTTCTCTAAACCAGTACATATACCAGTAGGCTACTTCAGGCTCAGTTTCTTTGTTTATCATGTTAATTTTGCATTCCATTTTTATTTTGGGTGGTGTTAGTTGAATTTCCACCAAATCATTTGAAGCAACAATACCTGCAGGGAATGATTTATTTTCTGGTATGTACTTTTGAGCATCTTGAAATTTTATATCTATATGACCGTGACAATTCTTTCCTGTACGTCTTGCTGACCTTACATGTGGCAACACACGGTACCATAAAATGGAATTGCTTGAAATTTTCAGTGGAGTAGCAGTGGTGGGACGAGATCGATCAGATGAATTTTATTGCTTTTGTTTTGTTCCAATACATCCAGCGTGAGATATTGGTAGATCCAAACTTGAAATGAAATTGATAGATTCGTTGCAAAATTACAGGACCATATGTGTTGCTTAGGGGATTATTAGATTCGCTGCAAAACTAGATCCAAGCTTGCGAGTCGAGCAAACAAAATTAGCTTGCTGTTAGCAAGGCTAATATGGATCAATGACATGTCTTTTCAACCTTAATGTAAAAAAATACATTAGTATCACTATCTGTATCTTAGCACTCATATATAGCTAACTCCGTTTTTTTTATTGCTTTCGGACATCATTTTCAGGCACACGTTTGATAGAGGCTGATCTACTTCCATCTGATGCAGGCAAGAGGGATAAAGGGTAATTAGAAGGAAGCTTTAAATTTTTCTGGTATGTCAAAGACCTTAAGTTTGCAAAATTTATCTCAGCTATGTATCTATCACATTCACATGTCTTATTAACTAGATTAAGAAATTTAAACTCTACAATTGTAAATTCCTTGGATGAATGAGAATATTGGTCACTGAGAAATATACGGTGCAATCAAATGGAATAGATTGAAATTTCATCTCTCACTAACATCATGATTTTTCTACAGATATTATTTTTTTGTTATTTAGTTCGTTTCTACAGAATTCTACTGCTACCCCCGTTTTTTACTGGTAGAGAAAATCTGAATGTTAATTTGTCATTAGCTTACATGTTGTTTGTGATAAAGATAAGGTAGGCAAAAGGAGGGAATAATTACATCATTAGTTTACATGAGCCACATAGAGTGGGTTGATGAGTTTTACAGACATAAGAAAATAACTATTTCATTTTTATTTCTCCACCTTATTATAACGGCACAAAATTGAGGTTGTTGACAACTCCACACAACTTATTAACTGTATCACTATACTTTTTTTCAGTGTTTTTCTGGACAACATACTTATATTCTCTTGTCTGAGCTACTCCTATGTTGAGCTGCTTTGTTTAAAATATTTTGAGACTTCTATGTTGAGCTGCTTTGTTTAAAATATTTTTCACTCAACGATATATAAAGTTGATGCGTACCCGCCAATGATCATGCATCTTCGCAGAATTATGTTGTAAAGGTCATGCCGAGTGATTTATTTCATTTTACCACGTGTGTGGCGCACGTGCATTTGTACTAGTATAGCAATTAGTGAGTCATCTTTCTTAGCAACTCCAAAGTTTTATAATACCAAGAGATAGCAAAAACCAGTGATATATGATATGATTGAAGACATATATTGTGGATTAGTCAGCCAATTAATGCAGAGGAATTTGAAACATGTGATGCTTAGTATATCTTTGAAGATGGATATTATGATTAGTTAATAACCAGGTAGTGGGTACGTTTGGACATGGTACTGGATTGCCCAATTCTGATTTCGTCCTTACCGCGAGCTGTAGAGTTGACCAGGATTCTTGAACACGACTCAACTTTCTCATCTGTAGCAGTAGCAAATTTTTAACAAATCACCGAAACAGATTTACCAGCCAATTTTCAACCTCTGAACCAGTGTCAACAGATTTAAACTTTCCATTCCATCACGGTCACAGCTCAAGAACATCAGCCATACTCAAATTTTTCTCCACCTTTTGTGGAAGACGAAAGATGGAGAGTTTTTGGCATATTTTCATTGTTTGATCATATTCAAGGAGGGAAGACTGTAACTTAGGCAAGGAGATTTGAGGCACAAGGATGGAGGAAACCAGCCCATCATCTTATCAAGCCAATGTCACCGACGTGGTGGTGGACACATTCGGTTCCCAAAACCACCCTCTATCGGTCCTCTGTCATCCATTCCAAGGCGAAAGGGTCATGCTTCCGAGCTAGTAGTGTTTTAAAAAGTGGAGGAACTAAGCGGGTAATTGAGCACCGCTTAGCACCTAAACATAAAAAGATAGAGAAAATAAACAGAGAAAAAATAACAAAAACATGCAAATTAACACACATTTGTTAAGAAAACAGAGAAAAACACTTAATTAACAGCTTAGTTCAATTCGAAGCTGTAGAGCTCCGCTTAGCACGGCGGACGCTTTTTAAAACACTATGCGAGCACATGGGACTGAAGCATCTGGTCTGGATGGCGCAGATTGAGGGCGTGTGCAGAGCCATGCATTTTGCGCTGGTGACGGTCTGGGGAAAGGAGAACGTCGGCATCCAGAGACAGAGGGTGAACGAGAGGAAGCGGAGCCGACGCGTGACGAGGAACA